AAAAAAAAAAAAAAAAAAGAGAAAATTAAGTGCTACAGACCTGTATAAGAAAAAAAGAGGACTGCTGTAGGTCTTCACAGAGTGAAGAAATATAATCTAGTGAGGAATGAAAATATATATTTTTTGACCCCATAATCTTGCGGATGTCACCAGGTTGGGGGGAGTAGGAGATACACTGGAGGACAGGGCTAGAATTCAGAGGAACCTTGACAAATTGGAGGACTGGGCAAAAAGAAATCTCACAGGGTTCAACAAGGACAAGTGCAAAGTCTTGTACTTAGGACAGATGAATCCCATGCACCAGTACAAGCTTGGGACCAACTAGCTAAGCAACAGCTCTGCAGAATAGGACCCGGGGGTTACACAGGACAAGAAGCTGGATAGAAGTCAAGCGTGCCCTTATCGTCAAGAAGGCTAACAGTATACTGGGATGTATTAGTAGGTACGTTGCCAGCAGATGAAGGGAAGTAATTATTTTCCTCTATTCTGCACTGGTCAGGCCACATCTGGCCACATTGTGTCCAGTGTTGGACCTCCAACTACAAAAAGGATGTGGACAAGTTGGAAGAGCCCAGTGGAGGGCAAAAGAAATGGTTAGGATGCTGGGGTACATGATTTCTGAGGAGAGGCTGAGGGAACTGGGCTTATTTAGTCTGGAGAAGAGAAGACTGAGAGGGGATTTAATAGCAACCTTCAACTACCTGAAGTGGGGTTTCAAAGAGGATGGAGCTAGACTGTTCTCGCTGATGGCAGATGACAGAACAAGGAGCAATGGTCTCAAGTTGCAGCAAGGGAAATTTAAGTTGGATATTAGGAAAAACTCTCTCACTAGGAGGGTGGTGAAGCACTGGAAAGGGCTACCTAGAGAGGCTGTGGAATCTCCATCCTTGAGGGTTTTTAAGGCCCAGCTTGATAAAGCCCTGGTTGGAATGATCTAGTTGGGGATGTCCTTCTGAAGTCCCTTCCAACCCTAATTTTCTATGATTCTATAATGGGCAACATCAAGGTAGAGTAAAAAGGGATGTCTTGGGGTTTGTATAACTAACATTTATTTTTAACACTCGAGTTTAGAAGTCTAATGGGTTTGTCATCATTATTGCTGAATGAAATGCAAGATGTTAAACACTAAGCTTGGGTAGTTTCCATTCAGTCTCACTGCCTGGCTCTCTTGACTTCATATACAGCTGTAAGTCTTGGACTGCAAACTTTGTTTTTGTTTGATTTTAAACATTTTCTTCCATGTTCCCTAGCTGCTTTTAACACAACTGAAAAATTCTGGAACAAAGTTTTTATCTGCAATTTGCCCTGAGAGCTAAAATAACTTCATCCTGTCTGACAGTTCCCACTACAGCTGTATAATTTGTATAACAGCAATACAAAAGGAGAATATGAAAAATAAGTAGAGTATGTTACCAGTTCACAAATTTGAGTGACTTCTCTTCCAGAAACCCTGAAGAAATAAACAGAAATCAATTTCAGCTTTCAATGAGTGCTAGGGAAAAGGGAGTAATCTATATTATCCAAAAGAATGTAAGGACTTTGTTACACCTTATACCGTGAGCTGCAAAAAGTTGATGGGTGTTAGTGCTAGCTCAGTTTTGGACCCATCAGCTATTTAGGCCAGCAGGGGCCTGGAGGACTAGAAAAAAAGAATCCCCCCTCCCATTACAGACTTGCCTCCTGCCCCCCAGGGCTCCCCTAGTTTCTCCCTGCCTACTTGTAGCTGCCCAGATGTCTGTCCCAGGGGAGCAGGTAGGGAAGGGTTAACCTGCCAGGCTATCCCTGCAGCTGGGCTGCTGCATTGGCGGGGCAGGCATGTTAACCCTTCCCTGCTAGGAAAGACAGAGCAAGAGCAGCCACAAGTGAGCACAGCGGTGGGGGCAGTGAGCAGGGATCTGAGATAGTAGAAAGGGTAGGCAGACAGTGGGCTTTATCCAGGCCAGAAGGGTAGAGTGGTTATACCTGAGCGAAACAGGAGCTGGGTCACATGGATCAGAGATAAGAGCAGCAGTTCTCAAACTGACAGATTGGGCACCATCAATTTAAAATGATACAACCATAAGTACCAGCAGCAAATTTTTCAGTTCAACCTTAAGTATCACCAGCACATTTTTGTCATAAAGTAATTATGATAAATCCATTAATGCGTACCACTGACAGGGCTGTCTGCATACCACAGCTTGGAAATTGCTGCCCTAGAGTGGTATAACTTTGAGCCACATAATGAATGCTTAAAACAAGTTTCAGGTGTTAATGTGCAGACAATTCAGGGGTTATGAGCTCCAGGAGCCACCCAAAATTACCATGCAAGAAGGCCCTCAGTCTCCCTGCAGCTAAACCAAGTTTGGAGCCTGAAGCTGAGTGCCAAGGGTGAAGTGAGCCATTCAAGAGAAGGCCCCAATACTGACTGTGAATGACAGGTTTGGGCCAATTGGTTCAGGTGACCAGGCATCATATGATGGCAGCACAGGGAAATGATAGAAAAGCTGGGCTTTGAGGGACCTCCAGAGGTCAACCAGGCCAAACCCCTGCCTGGGGCAGGAACATCCCTATCCCAACCCACAACCTAAACTCTACATAAAAGAACTGTCAACAAATCTTATTGTAAACCAGTCAACCAATATCATTTCTACATCTGTCTCATGAGAAGGAAGAGGTTGGAATGGGTCTACATACAAACTAGAGAGGAGGAAAGCCTCAAGAAGTCTGGGGAGGGTGTAATGAACTGCTGAGCCCATGGAAGGCAGGTGACTCTGCCTCCTAGTCAAACACCTGCTGCAGTTATCAGCCAGCCCAAAGGAGAGACCTCCAACGCACCGGTCCCATGCTTAGACACTGGGACTGCTGGCCACACACCACAGCAGGGGAGGCAAGTAAATGAAGACGGAGTATGGCTTTAGCGCTTCTGTACTGTCAGATACACAAGAACGAAAAATGAAATCATTAGAAACATCTTGAATTTTGTGTTGTGAAACTTGATCACTACCACTGTCCATAAAAGATGGTAGCAACAGCCCTTGAAACCCAATCGTTTTCCTTCTCAAGAGTTCCTAGAGTGCTTCTCAGCCTTTTTTTCTGACTTTTCTGGTTCTCCCTCTCACAACTGCTACAGTGAATGCTCCAGTATTCATAACCAGTCCCTAGGGAAATAACCTCATGCCCACCCCAGGGGGATGACCTCTGATGGACATGACCTCATGTCTACCCCCATGGGAGCCTGACTCAGACAGGGCGAGCGAGACCCAGCAGCACCAGAGTAGTGGTAGCGAGCAGGTCCGTGGCCGTGGAGCCGGACTGCTTGGCCCGGAGGAGCTGTGCCCGCCCCGTCCCAGCCGGGCTGCTGGAAGGGGGCAGGCCGTTGCCCGGGGTGGAAGGGGAATTGCAGACTGATGTCACTGCTAGTGCCGATAACGCACTAAGCTCGCGGGTGGGTCTCACTCACGCGTCGCGGACCGGGTGCTGCTCCCCGAAGTCGCGGAGGTGCCTCTTCTGCCGTTTGCTGAGGCCGGCTAGTGCCGGGCCGCGCGCCCGCCGCTTCCCCATGCCAACCCTGGCCTGGCAACAGCAGGAGAAGGGAGGCACGTGCGGCCGCCAGGCGCTTTACGGCCGCTGCGCGACAAGGAAGCGGGGCGGGGGGACGGGAGAACCCCGCCCCGAGCGCTCGCGTCACGCGCGGCGGCGTTTGGAGAGAACTGGCGTTAGCCCGGCCCTGCCGTGCCGTCACCCCCCGCCGGGGCCGGAAAGCCTGTCACTCCCCGCGCGCCCGCCAGGGGCGCAGCGCACGGCCGCTTCCTCAGCCCGCGTTGCCTTTGCAAGGCTCCCGTGTCGGCCCCGCGGCCACACAGACCTACCCGCCCCGCCACTGCCTCTTCCCAGGCACGACGTCGGTGTGGTACGGGCAGAAGGCCTGCAGTAAGCAGCCTGCGCCACCGCTCAACACAGGCGGGCTCGAGGGGTGAGCCCCCGGGCAGCCCCGCAGGAGCCGGCGTGGGCCTTCAACCCTTACGTTGAGACCGGAGCGACCACCGTGCCAGGTCTTAAATATAAAACGATCCTATTGGAAGCTCAAAATTATCATATTTGCTGAAAAACGATTGTGCCCATGCAAATAAGTCTCTTATTGACTTTCTGTTGCTCACTGACTCCAGTGAGTGAGTGACAACTGGGTCACCAAAGTTGAAGCTTGTCTTTTATTTTGATGCAAGCCGGCATAAGAAAGTGATGACAGCAGACTGGAGAGCGACTTGTATTTTCTATATGCCCTATTGGTTAACTGCCTCGAAAATGATCGTACCTTTTGAATGCTTTTACCATCATCAATCAGACATGGTACAAGAGTTGGAGTTAGGGTACAAACAGGATGATTAGCGTACACCTGGCAATGCTAGGAATGACCCTTCCTGACAGTAAACTAGCCTGGGGCGTGCTCTGTACTGCTGGGACTGTGTTGCTGCCACTGTTGCTGGTATGCTGGCTGGTTCATGTCGAGCTAGTTTGGGTGTCCCTGCAGTAGTGGGATCAGAGCTGACACTGTCTAAATTTATGGACAGTCCATTAAAAAAAAGGCTTTAAATGCTAGTCTATAAAATCCATTAGATAAAAATTGAGCCATTTGTAAAAAAAGTTACAAAATCATTAACTTGATTGAAGATGTGCCATCAGAATGAGGCTGGATGCAAGTGTTATGGACAGAGCAGAGCAGTGCCACCTTATCTTTCACAGCACAAACAGAAGTGCAGCTCCCGGCTGTAATTTGGAGCCTTTTCTGCCATTACCCCAGGACCAAAGAGAAGTTCATTGTTGGCTCCAGGGGAAGGGGAAATCTAGCTGTGGGCTGGGAACCTGCAGCCAGGTTCCCATAGCAATGGCCAGGGCTCTCTGCCAGTGCTTACTGTTGTCATAATGGGAGGGGAGAAAGGCAGCAAAAGGAGCTTGTTCTTGGGGCTCCCCAGCTGGTGCTGAAGGGTGGGGTGGGTGAATTGGAACCCCCCCCCTCTGGGGAGCTGCAGTACACCTGCCCCACCCTCTGGGGGGGCTGAACCCCCCCCCCCCAAACTGAACTTCCTCCACTCCCTTTCCTTCTTCCCATTCTGAAAACAGTGACAGTCTGGGAGCTCTGCAGACACAAGTTACAAAAGACACTACATTTTTAAATGTCTTCATCTGATACCTCATGCGATGAGGGGTCAGATTTTCACTTGACTGGCCATTTTTGAAGCTGCCCTATGGGGAATTCTCTGTCAGGGCTTTGTGGTCTCCTCCTTTTGGTAGCCACATATTGCTGCTGCATCCTGTCTGCCATTGCCTGCTGTAACAGCTGCTCACCACAAAGCTAGGCAGGGCCTAGATCTTGCTGTTTGGGGGGTACTTTTGGCTAGCGCAGGTGGTAGAACCCCCAGAGAGCAGCCATGGGTGAGCCTCCCTTCCAGAAAAGTGAGTTGGTTGGTTTGCTGACTGAGTTGGTTGGTTTGCTGACAGACTATTAATTATTTGAGTTTCACTTAATGATTAATGGCTAAGGTTTTCTTCAAGGTCATGCGTTTATCCCTTTCCCCCCGTAATAAACCCTGTTTTAGTTGAACATTGCTTGTGAGTAGAGTTTTGTTCACTTCCAAACACTCAGTTAAAATGTATTTTCCTGTGTTTCTGTGTGGGGCTCGAGGCACCCAAGTGTTAAACCTCTAAATTTGAACTCAGCCCTTCTTACTGCCATCCAGGGCCTGGCAGAAAACAATACATAAAACATATGTCAGTACAAAAGGTTGGCTGTCACTAAAAAGTTTGCAGATGTCAGTAAAAAAAAAGAAGAAAATTGGGGGGTTGGCAACCTTGAGTGGTATCCAACCTTCACTGGCCCATGGACAACAATACCAAGCAAGTAACATGCCACAGGCAAAATTGTACCTTACTGTCCCCGTTGACCTTGGTTTTAACTTTATAATCCCTGCAGTCATGAGCAGTATCAGCAATACGTCACCCTGTGAGCTGTGGGTTGGGTGCCACTGCTCTACACTATGCTGTAGTATAGACTGATCCTCAGCATAATAGACACTGTACCTACTAATGCAGCTTGTTCTGGCCTGTGCTTGTAAAACCACGTTTAGCAGTTTATTTGTACTGATTATTTAAATTTAGTTAATTGTCACATAACATATAAGGAATTACTCTGATTCTCTATGCAGTTCTTGAACATGACATCAGGACATCTCATCCCTGAAGAGGGTTATAGAGTTCACCATCCAGGGATTCTGGAGGAGAAATACCTGTGGTCCTCAGAATGGAAATATAAATGGAGAATCCCAAATGGGATTAGGCATGAGATGGACGCCAAACTGCTCAGACCAAGCAAGATACTGGCAATTCCAGATATGTGCAGAAATTCAGGTGCATAGGGAACTTTACTGGCAGGTATGTTAAGGATTTCAGTTTTGGATTTAGGTGTCTAAACTATGCCAAAATCCCACCTTTCTGGCTGATCTTACCCTTGTTGACTGAATGGTTCATGGTATTAGACAGGGGTGTCCGTCTATCCTATGAGAGAGGATTTCTGAGTAATATAAATATTAATCCTAATTAACTGGTATACAATAAGAACTGCAAACTTTCATTCAGTTGCACAAAGAAACTTGGCTTAAGATAAGCATAAAGCAGTTAGTACAGCATCTGCATTTAATGGACTCTGTGGCCACTTCCAGACATGCAGGGGCATATGCTTGCAGTGGCATAAATTTCCACAATGTACATCCCTACATGTGAGTTTTGCTGCAAGACAGCTTGTTCTGAAACAGGGAAACTGCCCTTGCCTAGCTTCTCCCAGCTCTTCAACCAGGGACAGCAGGATGCTGGGGTCAACACTGGTGCTGGCCCCAGCAGTTACCTGGTGGCCTGGAGCAGCAGGGGCACAGGTCGGGCAGCATGGAGGCCTGGCCAGAAGCCAGAGCATTGCTCTGGACAGCCTATCCTCCATGCCTACCAATGCATGCTTGTTATGTATGTGTTGCGCCGCTTTTTCTTCTGGGTAGTTTGGGGAGGAGGAGGTTGTTTTTGTGGATTTTTGCTACCAGAAATCCTGGTAGCAAATTTTGGCCACGTACTGCAAATCTGTAGCACAGGGCACGTTTTAATGTTTTCTGTGTGCGATTTGTGACACCACAAACCTCCTGCCCCTGCGTGTCTGGATATGGCCTATTTGTTGTTTCAGTGAGATTTAACTATCATTAAAACAATGTATATTCAAATTGTTACTGTTTGGGCACAGAAAACTCACCTAACCCAGGCCTGTAATGACATTTGTTGTTAAATCGGTTCTTTTCTGTTTTTTCTGTGTTGGATTATTTGGAGAAACAGAGTTCCCAAAGGACTAGTGACTAATCTTAGCGCAATGAAAATGGTTCTAAGAACAGCTATTCTTGCCGAAGGCAATCTTACTGCTCTCCCAAATATGGAGTGAGTATTGACACAGCTACTCCCATAGAAATCCTATCCTCTTAGGAGGAAGAGAAGAAAAACTGTTTTGTACTTGAGTTATAACCCTGCTCTGGTGCAATTTACGCTGTCACTTATGTCAAACTCATTAATTTTAGTGACCATTTTGTAAAGAGAGAGAGAAAATTAATGACAGGGAAATAAATTCTCTCTCTGTATTAAGGGGTGATACTCAGCTGATTGCACCAGGGCCTGCGGATGGCTGCTGTGTATTGTGTTGTTGCAATACAGCCTGTGCTCGCTGTTGTGTAGCTAATTTTCTCCAGAAATTTTTTCCATGATTGACCGAACTATGATAGATATATAAATAGCGCAGTGCACAATTGGTCAGTGGTTTCATGCTTTCCTCTTCTTCTGGCAAACCATGATGACTTAACTTGACAGAAACATCAGTATAGGACAATATGCAGAGTTTTAAGTACAGAATCAGTGTAATTAGGCAGACAGAAGGGATTCTGACAACCTGCTGCTCTGTTCCCTACACTATTTTGTGCTTCCAAAGTTTTAACCACAGTGCTTTTATTAATAAAGTCTTTTTCCACATAAATTTAGAATTCAGATTGGGCAAGTACCCAGGGTACAGGTATGATAGTACTGTTATTCCCTGGAGCTCTGCCTTGCCCTCTAGAAGTTTTTAATCAAAAAAGCCTCTACATTTTATAGATCTGAATCAAACCATCATACCTCTGGTAATGGGAATACTCAGTTCATTCTGTCCTCATGTACATCTAAAAGAAGAAATAATCTTCTGCTTTAAGGTAGTCTGGCTAACGGACATGATTTGCTGAAGGCTTATTAACATAAGCATCACGAGTGGGCTACTCATGTAAAGGTTACTCAAGTAAAGATGATTCAAGCAAGAGCATCTTGCAGGACTTGAAACATGGATTTAATCCTTATACTGAAAAAATCTGTGTGTGGCCTGGAAAAAAAGGCACTATACTAAGCGAGTGGAGAAGGGACAGAGAGCACACACCCACAAAGACCATTCTTCATCAAAAAAGACAACACAAAACAGTTTCCTCCACCATGTCAATATCAAATCCCCTTAAATGCTGCAATATTTAGGTGATCAAAGATTCATGCTCACACGAAAGGTATCCCAAAGGGTGCCAGTAACCAGTTTAAGAAGTTC